ATCACATATTTTCAGATAAGAAGTCCGAATTAGGCCTGCCCGCTGGTTGTAATTATTAAAGACTGGTGTAGTTAATTAATTACCTAATGGCTTGCCTAGGTGAGACCTATAGGCATGATATCTAGCAATTCGGAAGTACACTAATTTTAAAGAAGGCTTGCTGATCATAGAAAAACATAAGCTCTGCAGGTATTGAGTATCGTTACCACTGATTTTAGACTTGTTGACGATTCAGATTCAGCATGATTACTCCTATAGGCATGCTTTCTAAGCGTGGTTGGTTTGAAAAACGTTTATAGAAATGCAGGAGTCCTATAGGCATGGTATCTAGAAGGCAATTTGTTATTTAAACCTATAAACTGTTTGCCTAGTGATAGATGTAAATGCAGAATTTAAGAGATCTTATAGACAGGTTATCTATATGATGCAAGAGTGCAGAAGCCTATAGTCATGGTATCTATATGAATGCGGAGCCTTAAAGACATGGTATCTATATATGCATAAGTGCACAAAACCGAAGGCATGATTTCTATATATGAGAACTGCGGAACGATAGGTAGGATTTCTATATGAAATGCATAAGTGAAAAGCAAGATGTGATTACAGGAATAAATACCTAAGAACATGATGTCTACCCACATGCATACATGAGTGACCCTCCCCTTTACACTATAAACCCCGTAAGGTATTACAAATTATTACAACCCAGGATGAATAAAGAAAAGTAAAATTACATTAGAAATTAAAGTACAACCAAGGAGATCCTGATTCAAAATCCAGGTCTGAAATATGAAATAAACCAACTCCAAAGATCCAATTTCCAAAGCCTTTCTCATTTTCTGGGTATGTCAGAGTTTACAAGAGCCTCATGAACTCCGGGCAGTGCTTACACCCAAATTCATTACAGAATTGAATTATAGTGCAGTGTGGAAGGGCCAACCCTCAAATGTCCAAGTTCAGAGGGAACTCAAGGTCCCCAAAGCAAGGCTCATAGGAGGGGGGCAGAACTTAGAAACTAAGAGTGAGTGTAAGTGCAGAAAGGGGTTTAGGGGAAAGTCAAGACAGGCTGGTGGTAATACCCAACAATTAGGAGTGATGGCACACCCCAACCAGCATGTTAGCCACATCGTTTGGGAGTTAGGATCAAGCACAGATATGAACAACAATTTGGATGCTACCATGCCTGAACCTTAACTCAAACACATAGAAGGGAATAGGGGTATGGGGATTCACAGCAGAAAACAGATGCAAAGAGAACAGCGCACATATTTAACACTAAGCACAGACAGCAAAGTAGACAGGATGATATAAGCTGTGAAATAAACACATTGGGATGAGGCTGAAACTTAAATTAGAACATACCAGTTTCAGGGAAAGAAGAAAGTAAAAGCAGTAGTCTTGAGAACCAAATTGCCAGCAAACAATCAGCAGGTCTCAGAAGAGGGTAGAGTGTTGGGTGAGTGTAAGAGTATTGAAATTGAAAGTATGTATGTATGTTAGAGTATTGAACTCAAAGTTGTCTTAAAGAGTATTCCCTTGGAAGTTGTCAAAGTGCAGAAGGGTCATCCCCTTTTATAGTGCAGCAAGCAAGTAAGAAAAAGGTAAGAGAATAGTTTTTCAATCAATTACAAAAAGGATTCCCTTTAATTAAGGGATTCTAATTTCAAACGGACAAAATTAAATAAGGAAAGAGTTTGCTCAAAAAAATTTCCAAAGTAGTACAATAAGGGCAAATACACATGGGTCTATTTAAGGAAAGAATTTGATAGTAACACGGTTTGTGAGAATAAGGAAAGGGAATCAATCAAACAGCCAGTAAAATCAAAATTGCAGGCTTTGTTCGAATGAACCAAGTCAGGAAAAGAGAGGAAAGGGTTTTACTTAAGGAAAATCAATAACAATCAACAAACCTTACTAAAAGGAATTCGGAATCAATCATAAGTTGGCAAAGCCTTTTTGAAGGAAGAATTTCTCATATATAAAGCACACAGGTATGTCAAACAAGAAAGAGTTGTCATGTTAATTAGAAAACCTATCATAGAAAAGTTCAGAGTTATAAACAAAAAGGTTCCAGTCCAATTTATAGACTCAGAATGAGTCTGGGAACTCAGGGTTCCAAAGTAGAACCCAAGTCCAAACACCAAATCAAACTTGCCAAAACCCTCAGATTCTAGGGTTTCAACTCGAATCTGATACAGCGATGAGAAGATAAGCCATTGAAGCAGGCTCGGGGGTCTCTTTCAGAGACTCATGAGAAACAAATAGATATGATAGCAGGTTTGAAAGCATAAAGAACATGTTTGACAAAAGCTCGGAACTCAAGCAAGTTCAGAAGAGAGAAGAAGTGATATAAACTTAAGAAACAGTAAAGGAAGCATGTTTAGAACTCAAACAGAAGTTCAGTAAAGGCAAACAGACTTATAGCAAGGAACAAATAGAAAAACATAACAAAGATTGACATGCGAGCCTGATCTAAAGGCACAGTAGAATACAAAGTACAGGAGGGTCATGCATAGTAGAAAGAAAAGCAGAAGAACAACACATGCATAGTAAAACATAGTATAGGCAAACACACATAAAGAAAAGAAAAGGAAGAATCAAAAAGATGTTTTGAAATCCTTTCAGAAACCCTAAATCGAAGAGAAACAATTTTGAAAGAAAAGATTGGGGAAAACACCTTAAAAATCCAATAAAACACGGATATAACATAGATCTAAGAAAACTGACAGAGAAAAACCTCGAATAGCTTAGGGTTTCGGAGAAACCCTAGAAATGAGAAAGGCTTGGAAGAAATCCCGATCTTGAGTCGGAGAGGTCGGAAATAAGCTCGAAATGCTTGAATGCGCCGAAGCAAAGGCCGGAGAGGCCATAGAACTATAGCTCTGAGAAGATCTGAAAGAGAACTATCGAGGTCAGACCTCAACACTTCGAACACCCAGGGTTTAATAGTGGAGGGGGGTGAGTACAGACCATCCATGGCCTGAGAAGCCATGGATTCCGGCGAAAGTACGGTGGAAAAAGGGTTGAAGACGACTAGGGTTCTGGAAAACCTTCGAGAGTGTTTTGAGAGATGAGAGTATTCAAAGGCGGCGGACCAAACAAAATGGGGGGATTAGGTTAGGGTAGGGAAATTTAAAATGGCAAGGGACTATCCTGGCCGTTGATCAAAATGATCAACGGCCTGGATTGAAAGAAAGGTCGGGCGGGTTAAATAAACGGGTTAAGGGGCTGGGTAAAATTGAAATTGGGCCGGTCCAATTGGGGGTTAGGATTGGGTCAATTGATGGCTAAAATTGAAATATAAATAGGCTGTGATTGCAACGAAATGAGGCTAAATGTTAAATAGCCAGTTTTTCCTTTTATTTTATAAAAAAAATAGTAAAATAATTTTAAAAGCAAATTAAAAGTACTGAGTCAGTTAATAACACATAAATATTAATTTAAAAATACTGGAACCAATTTTTATAATTAAAATGCTATTAAACTTAAAATAGGCTAGAATTGCAATTATATGCAATTTAGCTTTAAAATACCAAATAAATTTGTAAAAAATGTATAAAAAAAATTACCTTAACTATATTTTTGTATAAACATGGGAATGACATAAATTATTCACCAAAATTGATGATTTTGGGAATAATTACTGATTTTGTACTGCTAAAATGAACAATAAATTGATTTTAAAAATCTTTAGAAAGTTGGGAAAAAAATACTAAAATCCTTTGGCATGCTTATATATGCATGCATATATTATTTTGAAAATATATAGGGAAAAATTGGGTATCAACACTGAGTAGCACGTGAATTTTATTGTGCAAAGTGAGATGGAAATATGTGGGCACAAGGTGTCATGTGTGTTAAAGGTTTGGAAGTTGTGAATTTTGATATGAGGTTACGAGGATCGGGATGGTGGGAATTTGTGTATTAGAATGATGCGATTGGTTGAGTTAATATCGATTTCCCTTATTTGATCACATTTTACTTATCTTTATCCCAACTGTGTTGGTGTGTAATTACCTGGTTATTTACGTTACTATCCGTGTTTTTTCCTTATCGTCTCTATTGTTGTAATTGGATTTCCTGTCATTGGCATTACTTTGTTATCTTTATCTTGTTAGTTTATTATCATATCATGTTCAATTTATTAGACCAATAGGTGTCTTGACTGTTCCTCGTCACTGCTCCACCGAGGTTAGTCTGACAAGAATATAGAAGAGACAAGACTGAATACCTGTCTGTCTCCCAGCACTATTGGACCTTTAAAACAATTTCACCATAATGTTTGCTATCAGATGCTGACTGCAGATGCCAAGTGTCGATTGTCCAAAAAACCAAACGTGCCGCTACTTTGACAAGAAAAATAATAATTTGGTGAAACTGTTTAAAGGTGAAACTGAAAAGAGTAGTTTACTTTGTTGGCAGAAATTAAATTAAATATTGGTCGTACAATTTTTAACACTGTAGCTGCTTACTTTTAATATAGTATATTTTTTAAAAAGAATTTGCAAGCTAATCAATTGCTAAACGAATTGTCTTCCAACTTTGAAGAAAAATCCAAAATGGAACAAGCGCATGCACTCATAATTTATTTGGTTTTCCAGAGGCAAAACTGATCTTCGGCTTTTTCCAAGGGAAAGAGGTAGGGAGGTTCTCAAAACCAGAATCTCTAACTTCTCTTTAGTCTTCAGACTCAGACCATTACGAAAACATAATAGAAACTAATAAGAAACCTCTTTTAATAATACCAAGTGTTAATCAAGCATCTTGCAAAATCATGCAAATTAAAGGAGCATGTCTACCAGTCATAGTATTTTATTATATCATCTTTTATTCTTTTTCCGTGGCAGACTCCTAATCGTTCTATAACTAAAGAATAGAAGTAGTAGTAATTATGAATTCTGAAAATTCAAACGTGGTGTACTAAAACTAATTGAGGGAAATCAAAACTAAAGATACTTGAGCACAACAATATATAAATTGGTTTATATTATTGTTATTGTTATTATTATCAACTTAAAATTGGTTGGCAGACTCCTAACACTTCTATAACTAAAAAACAAGACAAAAAAGAAGAGTCCAAAAGCTATTATAATAAAGACACTCCAGCAATTCCCACGCCTAATTCAACTCTCCAACTAATCTCCTTATAAAACTTGTGTCCTTAATTTTCTTCTTTTGCCTGCCCTCCCGCTCTGTTCTCTTTTCCTCCCCGCCGGCTCAATTATGCTCACCGCCACACCACCATCTTCTGCTTCTAAAATCAGAAGAACAAACAGCGGTGATGGTGATGGTGGTGGAAGCGGCTCAATAATTCTCGGCAAATATCAATTGAATCACCTTCTTGGCCGTGGCAGCTTCGCAAAAGTTTATCATGCACGATGTTTAAACGATGGCACAGACGTTGCCATCAAAGTTATGAACAAAAACACAACCGTGGATGCCTCTCTGGAACAAATAATCATCCGTGAAGTCTCCGCCATGCACCGACTTAACCATCATCCCAACATTATCAAACTCCATGAAGTGATGGCCACAAAGACCAAAATCTACCTTGTCATGGAACTCGCACCTGGTGGCGATCTTTCCTCCAAGCTCAGCCGCTGCGGAAAATTCTCTTACTCCACAGCAAGATTTTACTTCCACCAGCTTGTCTCAGCTCTACACTTTTGCCATCAAAACGGCGTGGCTCACCGTGATATTAAACCACAAAACATTCTCCTGGACAAAGAAGGCCAGCTTAAGGTCTCTGATTTTGGATTAGCCGCTCTTTCGGAACAGTTCAGTAACAGCCTCCTCCAAACGGCTTGTGGTACTCCAGCTTATGCGGCTCCAGAGGTTGTATACAGAAAAGGATATGATGGTGCTAAGGCGGATGCATGGTCTTGTGGGGTAATTCTCTTTTCATTCCTTGCAGGAAAACTTCCATTCGATGACAGCAGCTTAACCAAATTGCATCTGGCAAAACATCGTCGTGAATTCCAATTCCCTGATTGTGTTCAAAAGCCTGCACGGAGTATAATAAGCCGGCTGCTAGATCCTAATCCGAATACAAGGTTAAGCATTGAGGAATTAATGGAGCTTCCATGGTTTAAGAAATCTGCAAAGAAAGGCGAAGAGTCAAATCAGAAACAATTTAGTCAAGGTATATTTGAAATTAAGGATTGTAAAAAAGAGGGGAGAATGAATGCGTTTGATATAATATCAATGTCAGCTGGGTTGGATTTATCAGGGTTATTTAAAGCAAGGTTGAATAAGAAAGAGATGAGGTTTACAACGACTGCTCAAGTAGGGAGTATTGAAGAGAAGGTGATGAAAAAAGGGAAAGAAGAAGGATATAGAGTTGAGAGAACAAAGGGTGGGGGAATTGGTTTGGTAAAAGGGAGAGTGGCATTATTGGTGGAAATATGGGAAGTGGCAGTAGAGCTGTGGTTGGTGGAGATTAAAGTTGTCAATGGAGGAGTAGAATTTGATGAATCTCATTGGGAGGTACTGAAAGTTGGGCTGAAAGATATTGTTGTTTCATGGTATGATGATGGGTCTTAAGGGAAGAAGTTAAGCATGGTTGTTGCCTTGTACACTCTGGGGCAACTCAGACACTTTTAGGATTGTACTTTGAACTGATATCTTCCTAGCAGTCTTCAAATTTTGCTATGAAAATCCTCTTAACTCTTTTTCAGTTGCAGATACTTGAGTTGTACTTTTTCTTGATACAAAGCATCAGGAGTACTAATTATAGTGTTAATATTCTAGAATCTGTCCCCTCCCGTCTCACTGCAATTCCTTGCTCGGTTTGAAACTCGTCCTCCATCTGAATATAACAAATACTATGTAGTAAGCAGCTGCTATTTAATATTGCTAAAAGAAACTGAATGGGTCAATTTCATGAATTCTTATGTTGTGTTCATACAACAATCAGTGAACTAAAGCATGCAACAATGATTTCCTAATAACCAGCTATAGAAGTGGTGAAACATGACCATATTATTTCGCATATCTCACAAATCAGAAAATGTTTGAATGCTCATTCATGCAAACCTAAATGGTTTTTCAAAAGAACCACCACCAAAGTTTCCCAGGCTACAGAAATATGTATGTTCACATGCAGTCAAGATAAACATGAGATCAGTCCAAAGTGTCAAAGGTTTTGAGTCATTTGACTCACCGCACTGATGTTTGCACCAAACCAAACAGTTTAATCTTACAAGTCACAAATTAAGAGAAAACACATATCATTCAACCATGGTTAATTCATAATAGTTTAACCACAGATTTTGTTTCCGATTTTGACAAAAGTTGAATGTGAGAAACCAGCTGATTAAGTAGAGTATGATTCATCTTTTCAAGGGTCAGGTATTGAATTGACTTACAAATGGCTTAATCTTCTTTTCTGATTGGTCATAAAGGAACGGGGAAATTCCTGCTGAAGAGCTGAACATATATCTATCTACTTGCAGTAATTCTTAAGCCACGCACCAATATTCAGGAAGTTCTCGAAGTCACACTGTGGTCTGCAACAGAAACACATGTAAGGTTCTCAATATGAAGTGAGTCAAGTACAAAAAAGAAAAGAAGCACATTCATAGATTTGGGACCAACTTACCTATAAAATGCATGAGTGTCCTCGGAAAACACCATGACTTTGTCCTCAACTCCTTTCTCCTTCAATGCCCGTGCATACTGCACGCAAGAAGAGTAAAAGCATTTCCTTTCTGATATTATACACTTTAGGAATAGAAACAACAAAAAGTTAAACAGTACTAAACTTTGCATCAGAGATCACATCAAGCTAAAAAATGGCTTATAAACGCTCAGTTACCCAGCTTTTATTCCACTTATTTACAATTTTCACTTGTTAATGCAGTGACTGGTCGTTCGCAGACATGAAACTGCTGGTCCTCATACGTTATTAGTAGTTGATCAGTGAATATGATATTTGATGCATATTTGGCTTAAAGTAGAGCCAGACACTAGATTCCACAGGATTTGATCGTATTATGAATGGATATGTAGTTGAACGAAAAATGAAAAGGGACATGAAAGAAATAACATTTCTGGTAGACAGGCAAAAACACATAAGCTTCACATGAATACATATATTCTCAGACCCTTGATATAATATTAGAATGAATCCAACCAACAAAATTTGGAACCAGAAAGATTTTCTACAAACAAAACGATCACCAGGAGCATGTGTTTTAACTTTAGTATTCAAATCTCACTATGAGTACCAGATATAGATCAGGGAACAGTAAACATGAGTGCATAAGGTTATGGTAAGAAGTTGGCCTCTTTAACAAAATACATTGATCTCTCATCATACTTGAAAGTTAAAACACCAAAGAATCTGCCAGGTTCTCAGCGAGATCCCTGACAGGTATCTTCATGATACCAAATTGGCGGTGGATTACAGCAAAGATACAACCTGTAAGCAGAAAAGATGGACAGTTAAATATCAGAAATGTAATTTTAACAAATATACACTGAGCAGAACAGATGATACAATCAGTAATTGAACTAACAAGTAGATGAACCTTTTCAGAGCATCTAGATATGGGGCTTGAGATATCAAGCCAACTCCAGGATGCCTCAGCAGATGCCTTTCCAACAAGGAAACCGTACTTGATTGCAGGAACATCGACAGAACTGCTAGAGACTTTAGAGGGAAATACACCAGATTTATCTAGGTTGGATAATCAGGGAAAAAAACTTATTGCAATATGGAACCGGTTCAACATAAAGTATGCGTTGACTCTTACCACTAACGATGTTCTCACCATCTAGTGTAAAGCAAGTTCCTAGAAAAGCAAGAGTTTCGAGGACTGATTCGTGACACTTTGCCACTATTAAGAAACAAGAAATCTTAAGTACAATGCACAATCAAAGACTTCAGTTCAGATTGAGAAGCAAAACACATAGTACCTTCACACATCCACTGTAAGTATTACCAGAGTGCTAACCCAGGCAGAAGATAAAATCATTGTATATCCATCAGAAAGCCAAGGTTTACTAACAACATTGAAACAGTAAAGGCCAGGGAAGCATCCATCTTCAGGACACATCAGAACAGGAACCTGCAATCATCATGTTAATGTTTGCTGACTATTGGATGAACATGTTATACATAAATAATATGGTACGAAAAATCACTAATTTGTGATTAGCCTCAAAGTGCTAATATAAATTAGCAGAATTAAAAAATTGAGATGTACCGCATTAACAATTTTAGCATCTGAACGAGGCTTTGCATCAGTGGACCAATCAATTCTATGAAGTTAATTTGTTGCATTATGTGCCCCGGAATCAACAGAACTTTTAACTGAGCAGAGTACAAGATACTTGCCATCTGGACTGCAAAATTTAGTAAAAAATCATCTGTTCTATTCAACAATAACAACAACATACCCGGTGTGTTCCCACAAGTGCTGTGTGGGGAAGGTGGGGATGTATGCAGACCTTACCCCTACCTTGTGAGAGGTAGAGAGGCTGTGTCATCTGTTCTATTATATCAGGTAAATACACTGCAGAAATTAAATAACACAAGAAATAGAAAAAACTTTAAATTGCTCCTAGAGATGCTTTTCAATAGTTTCATAAAAAGAGGAACATATCATGGAATTAGTAGGGAAGTGTTTCCACCAATTTCAGAATGGCTTATAAATAACTGTATGAGTAAACAACACACCTGAAACTAGGAAAGAATGCACTACAAATGCTTTGTGTCAGCTTAACTGGAAGTGCATCTTCGGTTGCATTATTTCTGGAAGTGATAATAGTCGATTAACAGTGAAAACTACCCAAAAAAAAGGAAAAGAAAAAAAAAGAAGACTCAGATATATACAGAATCACTATTACTCTAGCCCCTCTACTATATTCAAACAGAAACGGATGTGTTAGTCAACAACAATATCATCCGTAGCAGCAAGTAGGTACGTACTCAGGTTGATGAAATTCTGATATTGGAAAAGGAGCCCTAACAGCATATAAGGCACAAGGCCTGTTATAGCAAAATTCGAAGCCCAACTTTCTAGTATGTGATGGCGATCAACAAGAACAAGATACTGCTGCAGGTCTTCAGTGGATGCTCCCCCCCCCC